AAAACCGACCCCGGAGGGATGGAAGGCTTGGTTGGCCCGGGCGACTCACGACCCAGGATTTGATCCCCAGACCGCTCGCGTAGTGAGCGTACCACTTGCCACTTCACCACTTTCGCCCGACTGTACTGATATGTTACAGTAAATACTTGTATTATGCTTATGACACACTTACAGCTTAGGACTCAAAGGCACTTTGCACTGAAAAAGCTCAGCTTACATAGTGCTGGGCCCTTTTCGGATGCGCCACACATTTGAGTGCCATCAAAAATTGCAGTGCATTTGAATGCTTTTTGTTCTATGCAATACGGAAACCATGTGTTGTGCAATTGTTTAACAAAATTAACTTACCATTAGTAGACAGGAAGCACGAAAAGGTCAGTGCCCTCATTGTTTCTGACCTATTGGACAAATCTGGTAGAAATTTGAGAACCTCGATGATGAGCGGTGGCCCTGTCGGATATTGATTTCGATCCAGGATCTCTTCCTCCGATCGCACTAGGGGAAACAGCGCCATTTCCCACTATTCCATCCTCTGTTGTCTTACCCACCGTTTCCATAGGCAGCCATTATGACCGAAGAAATAGAAAATCATAGTTGTTTTCGCTATATTCTGCGTTCCTGCTTAATTCAGCTCTTTTTAGATACCAAGCTGAGAAGTATCGAGATGAGCGTCGCGGTTTGGTTGCTGATAGTAGAAAGCGTGACCGTGATCGAGATCGCGACAAAAAAGATCGTAATGACGAGCGGGATTCGAAAGGCAGTCGGGAAGATCGAAGGGGTTCTGATCGCAGCGATCGACGAGATGAGAAGAGAAAGCGCAAAGAATACGAGACCCCAGATTTCAAGGTAGTTTTTAGTGCCGATGAGTTAGGTCTTTTCATTATCACAACGCTGTATCCCTTACTATCAATTTATTTGTTCATTTGTTTGTTGTCTTTTTTCTTCACTGTTTTTATTGTTATTGGTTGTTTATTTACTCTTTCATTCTTTGCTCAGGTCCCATTTACACCTTCACGGTACGGCTGGAATGATGATGATGGTCCAGTCCGAAAGTCTTCATGGGATACACCGTCTCCTAGAACAGTGTCTTCATCCCGCCGGGGAGACTCCGAGAGAAGTGGGTTAATTTATTTATAAATCATATTTACACTTATTTATATTTATCAGGTATCGAATGCTTTATGAGATACTTATCTTGCGG